TATGCTTATCCTGGATTTTAATTAATGAACTATTAAATTATATTCTGTCAATTACATGGATGCTTATTCTGGATTTTTAATTGATGAACCATTAAATTATGTTCTGTCAATTACATGGATGTTATGGATTGTATGCACCGGTATGGGATGGTGGCATACTAGGGACGGATTAGTTTAAAATACTAAGTCCTACCTACTCTGAAATAAGGGAATGGATTATAAAATTAAATCCTACTTATATTTAAGTCAGACCAGCTGAACAAGTTGAATGACTAACTAAATTACTTGCTACTTATATTTAAGTCAGATCAGCTGAACAAGTTGAATGACTAACTAAATTACTTGATACTTATATTTAAGTCAGATCAGCTGAACAAGTTGAATGACTAACTGGATTTCTTATGGATGGATATGATAGGATTTATATATATATGATTATGGTACCACGATATGAGTTTGAGTCTCAGGATCGATGGTTAGGGAGCATATATGCATTGGGATGCGTAACTGGCTATGATGGTAGAGGTATACCCTGTTAGGTCTAGGTACTCATGCCCACCTTTGGTGCGATTTACATGTTGCCTTCTATTTAGGTTGAAACACCCTTTGTAGTCCAGTGAGAGTCCCTTAGTGTGGATATATATATGTATGGACTAGATAGATATTGTTGAGTTATCTAGGATGTATCTACGTATCGGATCTCTATTTGGATTGTAGTTAGAATAGAACTTGTTCGTGGGCCTGACCCACTATCATTTTTCAGGTATCGGACGGTTCCAGTTTTAGAGCTTGTTCGTGCTGAGCAGAGACAGTCACTCACTCCTCTGACTACGTAGGATTCCCTTTCATGTTATAGTTTTGGATTTCATTTCCGTACTTTATTTTCTTTTGGAATTTTATTAGGGTTCCACTAGATGGATTCCCGAGTTGTACGTTTATTAGAGGTTTTGGAAAGTTTGGATTATATTAGTTTTATAACTTTTGAGGATTTAATATTTAGCATTCTTTCAGCCTTTATTATTTATTTTAAAATTCTTTTTGTAATCCTGCTTATTTGCATATTAATTGTTTTGTATCACTCGAATCTGTGCTCGGACATGATCACCCGTGGCTCTAGAATCGAGGGGTATCACAAAACATCTATTACAACTAAAATTCCTAAAAATACATAAAATTTAGGTTTGAAAAGCAAGCTTAGGGGCTATCTCTAGCCCCAAGAGAATGATTTAGCCACTCATTGTAGTGGTCATGAAACCCTCAAGGGCTAGCTTGGAGGTTGGCATCATTATCTTCATCCTTGTTTTCTTCCCAAAACCCTAGTTCTAGAGAGAGGAAATATTTTTCTATAATTGGTAATATCTATCTATGATGGTATGATACAATAATGTTTAATAAATCAATTACATACTCCTTTGAGCAAGGACCAAGTCAGAATTATAGCCTATGATTGGAGGAAATTTACAGCTACACAAGTTAGGTAGAAATCGGCGCGCTCGGGAATTAGACAGCTCACTACCAGCAGGCATTTCGATCGATCGAAGATTCTCGATCGATCGGATACTTGGCTTCAATCGATCGAAGCTGACATGGCTCAAAAATATCTTCTAGGCTTTATCCAATTGGCTAAGTTGGCACCGCCTTATTTTGATCGATTGTAGACCTCTCGATCGATCGAAGGTCCCCTGGTGTATTTTTCTTGGCTTCTTTCCAACTTTGCTCCTTAACTCCAAAATTGAGCTAAATGGCTCTTGTTAGCCTGTTTAAACTTTATTAACCTGAAATAGGCAAAAACACAAATAAGTATCTAAGACATAAAAGTAAGATAGATGAATGGACTAAAATACCCTAGCTTAGGTGCTAAAATGCATCACATTTGAGCACTTATCACGCTATTTGGCACGAGCTCGGGCTTTGGAAGCAAAGCTCGAGCTTTCTTGAACATGGCTCGAGCTTCAGAGAATGGTGCTCGATTTTCACTTTTGTACTTACTCAAATTTCTTCAACTATTTTCTGAAGCGTCTTTTCCATCAACACTTAGAATATTTTTGGGTTTTCTTCCTTTTAACAGTGCTCGATTTTTTCTTCATTGTGCTCGAGCTTTAAGTGTAAAGCTCGAGCTTTTGGCTCAGGGCTCGAGCTCTGAGTGACAGTGCTCAATCCCTTAAGGTCTGGCACGAGGCCCTGGGAGCTTGGCTTTCTCTGAAATCAACTCTTCAAATTTCGACGCCTCAGGCTCGAGCTTTTAGGCAAAAGCTCGAACACCCTGAGGTAAGGCTCGAGCACCCTTATGTAAGGCTCGAGCTCTAGAGGTCAAAGCTCGAGCTTTAATGCTTGGTTGATTTTCTTATTTTCTTGCAGAGCTCGAGCCTTAGAACTGAGGCTCGAGCCTTGGCACTTAAATTCCTCCAAACTTCACCATTTTAGCTCTCGGCTTGCTTTGAATGACCAACAACGACTCTGTAAGCTTCAATATCAGACTTTTCATCATAAAGTCTCGGTTTTAACCGTTTCTTTGGAAAAGTACCTATAAACACACAATAAACATAAATCAGTCTAACAGTGGATAGAAGTATCATTTTAGGTCTTAACATACATAGAGTTAGGGGCTCGAATATGCAATATTTAGCTCTTATCACACCCCTCAAACTTACATATTGCTAGTCATTTAGCAATACAGAACTAAAAAGCTACTTTCGTGGGAATTACGGTTGCATTTAGCTTATCCAACAAGCCTTTAAACCCCTAGATTACCCCTAGTGGACGAGTTGTAGTCTCGTGAGAGTTTCCAGTGATGGCACCCACAAACTTCTCAAATACTTCCTTAATTGCACAATAAGCTTATTAAAGCCTATTTTCAAATCATAATGTCTTAGCAGTTCATCAATCAATCAAATACAGTGAGTACAACAAATTATATTGATAAAAAAAACTTTCCAACTTCCAATTTCAATTTAGCATCCATGGTCCCCACATGTCAGTTTAATCATTTATTCAATAATCTTAATCTCCAAAACCCTTTTTAGAAGTGAACTCACAATTTCAAACATGTGGCTTACTATCTATACTTGTATTCATTCCATGTTATCCCTCAATTTACAGACAAACTTTTTAAATTCCAATTCCCAAGGTATTTTTTTTCTTATTTTCTATAGATATGCATTCTTCAAAAGGGTACTGTACAATGCTCAGGTCTATTAAGCTTTCTAAATCACCCATATAACGAACTTTCGGCCAATGACTCCTAAATCAGATGGTTTTAGGGCATTAAGTGTTAAAGCACCCCTCCGGACCTAATTGCTCAAGTAATCTAGGCAACATAAACCCCTTATGTAACAAGCTTTCAGCCAATGACTCCCAAACCAAATGGATTTAGGGCATTAGGTGTCAGAACACACCTTTAAGGACTTAATTGCTCAAGCAATTTAGGTATAGACCTGAACTTGACCCTTTTCTCTTTCTTTTCTTCATCATTTTTTTTTTCTTTCCTTCTTTCTCATTTATTGCATACATACCAATGTTGTTGTTATTTTTTATTTATTTTAACCTTGGTTATCAAAATTATCAAATTCACATGCTTATCTTAGTTTAACACAAAACAAAACAAGACTTCAAATTTATACCCCACAGAATTCATGCAAGTGTGAATATGTGCAAAGTGAAGTATTTTCGAGATCAAAATCATCAAACAGTAATCATCTTGAGAAAGTGAACCACAGGCCACGAACTGATTTAAAAAATTATCAAAAATTCATTTTCAACATAACTTTGGTATACAAGCCATCTCTAACCAACATCAGATTGTATAAAGATATCATGTCAATCAACAGACTCAAAATCATGCTTTCTACATTAAAATCCACACCCTTATGTTCAAGATATTATTTACAAAAATTTGAAATATGTCCCTTACCCCCAAACTTAGTGTGCACATTGTCTTCAATGTGTGAAAACAAAGTAGCGTTAGAAAAATATTATCATCCTACACTAGACTAGCAAAGATTGAAAATTCAAAACGATATTAAAAATAATTTATTTTTAATGCCACTTAAAAGATATAGTACTAAAAATTTTCAATATTGAATTTTCAGTTTTTGTCAAACAATTTATTACCTAATGGCCTACTTGGTATAAAGACCCATATTTGAGTACCAATAAAAAAAAAAATCTATTAGAGTCGGATCGATATTCAATCTTTAATCGTCTAATTGTAAATATTTTATAGAGGGTAAAGTGCAAACCCCCCCCCCCCCCCCCCCCCCCTCAATTATGTCTAAATTTGCAAATAACCCCCATAAACTATGTTTTGTGCATAAAACTCCCTAAAGTATCACATTTAGTTGCAAAATACCTCATTGTCTTACCTTTTTTTATTAAATGACCATAATACCATTTCTTATTGAATTACACTTGATATATATATTTTGCTAAAATAAATTATGAAAAAAATTCATACTAATTTGAGGAAATATTCTCCATTAAATTTGCATAAGTTTGCCTTTAATTTTTTAATAAAAATCTTAAATAGAAAATTTTGAAACAATTTAAGTAATTTCTTTATTTTTATGAATATATTGCATTAAAAAGAAGATATTTTTTATTTACGTAATTTATTAATTTTTCATGAATATTGTTTGAAAAAGAAGAATTTTTTTTTTATACTAAATTTTTTTAAAGTGAGTATAATAAGTTAATTTTTTTAGAAAATAATAGATACATATTTATTTATTTTTTTTCATTTTTATAATCAATTGATACTAATTATAAAATTAAGGTAAATGGTATAATTAATATTTAAATGAGAGAAAATATAATAAAAAATGACAAATTTAATAACAAAGGGTATAATATTAATAGTTTTTTGTGATGAGTTTGTCCTTAATTACAACAAATTAATAATTTCAATAATTCAGGATTTCTTTCTTTTTTTGTTTTTTGTTTTGTTTTTTGCACTTTCCACTGTGTTAGGAGGTATTGCTGATGGCCCGACCCATAACTCCGACCCGTAATTCCAAATTATTGGAGAGGAGAGGAGAGGGCAGAGAAGCCAGCCAAACAACGTAAGGCAACGTTTTACGTCAAGGGGGCCGCCGTGTGCGCATCAGTGTCCCGGAAGACCTACAGCTACAAGTCCAGGTATGTATTTATGTATGTATCTGTCTGTTGCGCAATGTAATTTGCAGATCTATTGATGTGATCGTATGTATATATAATCTATATCTATCTGTGAAGGATTGATGGGGAAGGAAAACCAAGTGTCAGTTATGGAAATAGACGATAAAAAATCAAGCTCTCCTGATCAGATCAACAACCCCAAGTTTTCAATCAATGGTGATTCACTTCTACTCTCGCTCTTTTTCTCCCTGAATTACTCTCTCTCTCTTTCTTTTCTTTTTTTTTATCTGTATATGTATGCACACACACATATATATATATATATTTATGTTATAATAAACGAATCTTCTTACCTAATTAAGCTGAGTTGCTTCGGCCGTACAGTGTTGCAGCTCTTGAAATCATCTCAGATGCAGCATGGATTACGTTTTGGGGATTACACTCGCTACCGGTACAAGATTTCTTGTATTTTTAGGCATTTATATGCTTAAAAGTTCAAATTTTGGCCTCAATCTATAGAAACTTTTTCTAATGGGTGATATATAAGTAGAAACTTTTTCTAATGGGTGATATATAATTTTTTTTTTTTTTGATAAGTAATGGGTGATATATAATTGATATAGTCGGGTTGTGGAATTAATTTCATTGGTGTTACAGGAGATATTGTACTGCCCGATTGCGGAGGTTGTATAAATCATTGAAGTTTACACATGGGCGTGGTAAATACAACAAAAAAGCAATAACCCCAACTACTGTCACCGAAGTGAGGTGCGTTTTGATCGATCTCTCGGATTTGGAGTTCTGTGATATTCATATGATGTAAATGTTGGGAATAAATCTTCAAATTGAGAAAGATGTTATTGGGCATTGCTATATTTGGGGTTTTGTTTAATTGCCATTGACTCTAAAAGGATTTCTTTAAATTGTGAACTCTCACAATCATATACTTGAACGCATTGAGAATGAAATACAATACACTTAAGATCTGTTTGACTGCAACAAGGACATGGGATTAATAAATGAAAACTTTATAAACTTGTAGTGAATTGTGACTCCTCTCTTTGTACATTCCACTGTAGCAACTCTTATGTAACATTTTTTACAATGAACTTTATTGGTAAATGTCATATACGATTGAGGACACAAGCATGATTGCTATGAGTTCCTTCTATTTTCCTTAAAAAATCTACAGGGGCTCTAGGCGGCCTGAAAATGACAAAATTGAGATAGTTCATGACATTTAGTTGGCATAAAAGCAATGAGGACTTACTAAAAGTTATATTTTCCTGATAGAAATCCATAATCCCCCTTACCAAAAGAAAAGCATAGTTTCTTTGAGAAATAATAGATCATAAACCAATGAAGGAGATTACTAAAAGAATTTATTAATGGAGTCTTCACCAATCAGGTGAATATTTCACGCTTTTGTCACTTCTGAACAGTTTGATGAGAATGTGTTTGAATCATCCATGTGAATCCCCCTCCCCTCCTCTTCTCTCTCTCTCTCTCTCCCCCTCTCTCTGTGTGTGTTCGATGCAAGTTATGCAACCATATTTGTCAAACCCAATATAGTGAGTTGAACATTGTTTTGAGAAGTTGTAAATGACTCTCTTAAGTTGATTAAGTTATTTTACAACTAGCTTATTATTTTTATTTGTCATTATGGCGATAAGCATGTTTTCTATTCATTTCTTTTTTGGCCATACGAATAGCATGCTCTTTTGTAAAATATCTGTACCTTACCAATGTAAATATGTGTGCACGAGTGTTTCTGTGGTTGTCTGGCTTTGCGCATAATTCCAGTTCATGCTTAGGTATTTTGAAATAAAATATACCACCAGTATCCTGGGAAAAAATTGTATTCCCCAAGTTGTTTCCTTTATTCAGCTTAAGCTCTTTGCATCAGCTACTTTCTTATAATATAATTTTTTTCATTTGACTTTAATTAACTGTTACAAATTATTAATTTTTTGAGGATCAACTTAAATATATAAATTAATATATTTATTATTTTATTTACTTGTTTGAGGCTTTGCGTTTCAGTGTGATTAATGATATGGATAATCTGATCTAGAGATGTTAGAACTGCGATGGTTTTTCATAGTAATTATGAGTATCATAGGTTAACATGTTAAAGTTGTCACTTGTCAGTTAATGGTTTAAATTATTTGGCCCAATATAGATTTCTCCATTTGGTTCTTTATACGGCCGAAAGAGCTTGGAGTCATGCCATGGAAAAAAGGCAGCTGCCAGATGGTCCAAATGCACGCCAACGCAGCTACCTGATTGGTAGGCTGAGGAAGGCAGTAAAATGGTCTACACTTTTTGCAGAATTGTGCGCCATCAAAGGAGATACCAGAACATCTTTAGAAGCTGAGGTTTGTCTTTTTAGTTCAGTTGTTTTTTGTTGTTACTATTTGCTTTTGCACCTTCAAGTTCGTTTTAAGAATTTTCAACCTGCAACCCTTTCATGATTTAGGTATATCTAAGGTCAATTTCGTGTGCCCTAGATATGTGATTGAGGATGCGAATTTCATGCTGTGTTTTTTGCGATAATGTGTCTGCATGTCTTCAACAGATGTCCTTGAACGACTAAAGACACTTTGACACATTATAAAACTAGTTTTAAGTAAGAACATGCCCACACATGACTAATATACCTAACACATCTCCTTGTGATGATTTAAAACCTTCGATCTGATCGATAACCTTTGATTATGTCTCGCTTGATATGTTGATCTCCTCCGGCTGGGCATGGCAAGAGCCAGACATGATTTTCCTCTCGCTTATATCATTATACATTTATATATTATTTTTGTCACTGACCATTTTTCTTCAATATTATTATTATTATTATTATTATTTTTGATAAGTAAGATAAAATTAGAAGGCATTCAAAAGGGGAACACATGCCAAGAAATTACCCAAGGACCAAATTGGGTCCCTAATCTCTCAAAGTATCCAAAAATCAACTATCTCCCTCAAAGATTTACAATTTCTCCCCAGAACCCAACATAAAAGGAATGAAAAGTTCTGATTTGATTTATGCATCTTTTAGTACTGGTCTTACCTTTCAGTTAATGAAATGCAATGTCTTCCATCTGTTATTGAGCAAGGTTTGCTCACTAATTTGCAGGCCTATGCCTCTTACATGAAAGGGAATTTGTTGTTTGAACTAGATCAGAATTGGGACATTGCATTGAAGAGTTTCAAGAGTGCCAGGTACATTCTAGCCTCATAATTCAAAATTGCTTATTGTTGGCGTAATGCTAAAATTAAAATACCCGTGTGCCATGTTGATGTGTAAATCTAAAGTTCAACTAAAATCAAATAGGACTAAAATCTGTATTTGAACATAGAAAATTGGGATAAACATTTGTGAGTTCAATTTAGCTGCAACATGTATGTTTCTACATCTAGCTCCTTGAAAACCTTTTTGTTCACCTATTTTGAATTTTGCTGGTTGGGTGGCTTTTCTCTTCCTCTCCCTTTAGTAGATGGCATTTTGAATAACTTCATTTATGTAATAGGGCTGTTTATGAGGAACTCGGAAAATATGGAGACCTAGAGAATCAAGTTTTGTGCCGTGAGCGTGTTGAGGAATTGGAACCAAATATAAGGTACTGCCTACACAAAATTGGCGAGTCAAATTTACAGACTTCTGATCTTATAAACATGGGTGAAATGGAAGGGCCTGCACTAGACCTTTTTAAAGCTAAACTGGAGGTGAGTTTAATTATTTGAAAAGAGTCTGCCTCAACCACAAATGCTGTATAACTTACTGATTTTATTGCTTCAATAATTCAATTATTTGAGAGTATTGCTTCTGTCTGAGAACTTTTAAAAAGAATGTCTTTGACAGTTGATGCTTCCCATTATTGCCTATGTTTTGCATTGTCTTGATCTGCAGGCTGTTATGGCTGAGGCAAGATCTCAACAGGCTGCATCTATGACGGAATTTTTTTGGCTTGGTCATAGATTTCCAATTTCTAATGCGAAGACACGGGTTTTCATATTGAAAGGTCTGTAATAAATCTCTTCTTACAATAAAACAAATGGGCACCATAGCTTTAGAGCCAATACTTCTGTTGAGTTACTTGTCGAGTCTTTGTAAATGTTACTCTCAACTTTATTGTATCCTATGTTAAATTTCTGTTTATGACATTCTTCTTCTCATTATCTGATGGGGTGTTCATTCCCCCCCCCCCCCCCCCCCCCCCCCCCAACGAACCAAGAGGGGGTTGTAAAACATTCACGGGGTTGTTAAACCCAGTCAACTGTCCACTCTCTTTCAAGAAAGATTACAATTTGCTAACTAATCACTTATGCACTGCTCACAAACCACTCACTTTTGAAATGTTTCACTGCTACAAACCAACCCCCCTCCTGTTTATATGCGTCTCACTCTTGCCACAATTCAAATAGAGAGAAGGAAATGAAATGTTACGTACAAGATCACAATCTGATAGAATATGTAAGAATAAGAATGAGATTCTATATATCAGTGGTATTCAGAAAGAAGTCTCAGCAAATGCCTCAACTGATTTCGAATGGAGTCTTGCAATTCAGTTTTCATAGAACATTTGAGAACATTTTCAGTCTTTATAAAACTTGGCTAAATCACTGGAAGAAGGAATGGAACAGGCCAACCTCTTTCCTGTATCTTCTTGAATTTGATATGGCAATGTTCTTTTGCGAATGGTAATATTTGAAGCTTGCTTTTCAAGGGATCAGTAATGCTCTGTTTTATGAACTCTCCTCTTTTCAGTTTCTCCTGACCTTTGCTTGAAGAATCTTTAATTACAATTAGCACACACCTGGCTCTCTGATTTTTACAGATTGAAAGAGTAGATTAATTTTTGCTTTTGATTACCATCAGAGAGAGAGAGAGAGAGAGAGAGAGAGAGAGAGAGAGAGAGAGAGAGAGAATCATATATATGTATGACTGAAATGTATATGTTAGAGAAGATGACCGTTAGAAATAAAAATGACTAAACAGCCCTCAAGTAACCAATTCTCATGACCCACAATGTCATTGAGTCAAATGAATCTGAGAATAAACCAGAAAGGCCACGATTGACTTGAGAAAGAAAGAAAGTTGCAGATTTTCCCTTAGACCAACTGATGCCTTGGCCAATTGTAACTGCCATTTAAAATCTACCTTATATTACCATAATGTCCTTTTCAATCTAAACAAGGATTTTACAATTTAACCATGAGCTGCAAACTGATCCGGTTCAGAGTTCGGAGTGGGAGACATGTCAGCTTTTGGGAGGACCATTGGTGATGTAGAACAGCTCGCTCACGATTATCTGAGCATACAGGATCATTGCAAATCAGGGAGGCTGAAAAGGTAACGAGAATAGAAGGAACTAAATGAATAAGGAAAAGCCAAAAGAATCATCGCAAATTAGGGAGGCTGAAAGGGTAAGGAGAATAGAAGGAAATAAATAAATAAATAAGGAAAAGTCAAAAGGAGATTTGGTGTAGTTGCCAGCAATAGAAGATATTATTCTCAATTATCGTTTCCGCTATGTTAATTGGTGTGGGGACTTTGCTTTGGCTCGTAGGTTTCCCCACCTTCTCAGGATTTCCGTGAATAAGTATGCTGTGGTTGCTGACCATTATCAGCTCGATAATGGGAGGGTGACTTGGGATGTGCAGTTTCGTAAAGAGTTTAATGATTGGGAGCTTTTGGAGGTCACAGATTTCCTGGGATTGATCTATAGGTAGGTGGTGGAGGGCGTGGGTATGGACAAGATGGTGTGGCTGGCCACCTTGAGAGGGGTGTTTGAGTTTAGGTCGTTTTACCTAAGCCTTGTGGAATCTCCACGCCCCACCTTCCCTTGGAAAGCTATTTGGAGGACTAAAGCCCCATTGAAGGTGGCTTTCTTCACTTGGACTGTTGCCCTTGGAAGCATCCTCACTCTCGACAACCTTAGAAGTTAGAAGGAGATGTCAAATCGTGGTGAATTGGTGTTTCATGTGTAAGAAGTCGGGAGAATTTGTGAATCGTCTTTTGCTGCATTGCCCTATGGCAATGGATGTTTGGCCTATTTTCTTGTTTGTTTTTGGTATGGATTGGGTTGTTTCGGGATTCACGGTGGATATGTTAGAGGCTTGGAAAGGTTGTACAGTGGAGAGCCGAGTTAGAGATGCTTGGAGGGCCACTCCCCTTTGTTTATGGTGGGGTTTGTGGCGCGAGAGGAATATGAGATCCTTTGAGAGCGAGGAGTCCCCTATTTGGTCTCTGATGCAAATCATTAAGGGTACTTTAGTCAGGATTGAGGCAGTCAATGGTGCCTTGGAAAGTGCCTTGAAGAAAAAGTCAAGAGTCATTCTTGTTTTAGGGTAGTAACTAATTAAGCTTTGGAACTACGAAGTGTTCACTTAGGAAAGTGGTAAAATGTTATTAAAGCTGTGTGGGAATTCTAAAAGTCTTTCTAGGATATGTCAAGTGTCACTAATAGTAGTATTATAAAAGGGACAGCCCTCTTTATCAGTTGTAACCAAGTTTATCAATATATTTTGAGATTATTATCAGTTATAACAATTCTTAAGGCTTTCCCCCAGATTTCCATATAGAAATCTAGGCTCCGACAGTGATCGGAGTATCTTTGGTCTTGCTTACCGTTGTAAGAAGACTTGTGCCATTTTCTGTTTGCTTCAGTCTCTCATATTCAATATACTGTCATCTCTCTATTTTTTTTTTTTAATTTTTTTTTTTTAATTTTTTTGGTTAATGGGCGAAATTGTATATCTTTGGATATTTTTTTGGATTTTGTTTCTTTGGGAGCGCTCCCCTCTTGTGTGCCTTTAATGAAAATTTTACTTATAGAAAAAAGTGTTCAACTGGTGTTGATGCCAACTCTAGTTGAGCAATTTACAACATACTTTTCTTGATCTGTCTTCCACTAAAGGAATTAGATGTTACAAGGAAAAAACTCTTTGGGAGAACCAGGAAATGCTGGTTACCCTTGTAAAGTAACAGTGAAGAATTGGTATCAATCTCGTTGGTTATTTACTAGTGGATGCACACCTTTTAGGTTCTCTGGTTGACTTATGGTGGTAAAAACTTTTCTGGTTCTATTGCAATGTTAGTTTATTTCGCACTTTATTTTACGGGACCTTTTTCAAGTGGTTTCACTTGAAAACATCATGTAACTGTGTGAAATTGAACCTACCGATAACACAGTGCTGATGTTCCACATTGAAGTGAGTTTTTAAAAATCTGTAACTTGGATAATGCTCAATAATTGATTTTAATATTATGCTGCATGCCTACCCTTCTAGTCAACATGGCTTTTCTTTTTTTGTCACTTCTCCTCTGTTGGACATAGTGGTGGACATTGCTTGGTATGGTGGTGGAAACCTGAGCTGCCGAGCTTGAGTTCAAGTTTGAGACAGCCACTTTATGCATATAAATTCAAAGGTTCTGTACCCCGCTCACTCTCCCAATATCTTGATTAATAGGTACTTCCACTGGGTAATGGCCTTTATATTAGTAAAGGTCTCTTCTCCTTTATATTATAGAGTTTGGCCCTGATTTGACCTTCTATGTATTTGGACATGGTTAATGCTTGGATCTTGGTAATCCTAAGAAATAAGCCTATGTAAGGCTTGAATATGGTTCACTTATTAAATGCAAAATAAAATTCTCCTTGACCGTTGAAGGCCAGACTAAGTAAAATTGTTAATCCCGTCTTCTCTTGAATTCTGCTGATTCAAATTTAATCTTGGTAGCAAATTCTTAAATATGTTGTATTTTATGTTTATCATACAAGATTTGTGAAGCAAACAGAAATGAACAGAAGTAATCTTATAATAGCAAGGAAGAATAGCAATACTCCATTCACTGTTGGAGCCTGGATTCCTAAAGGGAAATTTGGGAAAAGCCTGAAGAGAAGTTTAGAATATGATAATCCGATGGCATGGTCTGATTATCCGGCATCCCATACCCCTTCCCCATCCCAACTCCACTCCTCAACACCCAACAAGATGGAGTGGAAGAAGGAGGGCTCCGAAGGTTAGAGACACAGGACATGCCTGGATCAGCGGTAGAAGAGGTGTGAGCGGTCCACTTCTGTTTATCGTTGCTAGCCCATCTGTTTCCATGACGAATCAGATGAGAGCTCCGATTTGAAAATCTAGGGCTTCTATCATTTGGCGAAACAAGGGCAGAGAGAAGAGGCGCTGAAGAAAAATCAGTACGACAGCACTTATCGTGTCGAAAGGTCTTCTCTTCAAACCGGCCGCACATGCACTGTTCTGCATCCATCTCATCTTCTCTGACAAGGACCACTGTCTGCTTGCAGAAGAGCCGTAATAAGACTATTACTGACACTTCAGTTCTCTAGACTGACGTTTAGACTACCCACAGAGCATTAATAACAGCTTCTACTATTCCCATGACATATTCAGATTTCCCATACCATAATTAAAACTTTGACTAGACCCTATTGACTGCATTAATTCTGACTGGACAGTTTTTAAGACACAACTGACTGCATCAATCCTCCCTCTTTGGAAGAAACTCGTCCTCAAGTTAAATTCTGTCCAACAATCCTGTCTTTGTTGCTGTCGTGGTACGGATACAGATCTGAAACATTGAATGTAGGATCAATACCCAAGTGTTGAGGGACTTTTTCCGGTAGTTCAATTGTTAGAGTAATAATAGGCAAATTCAGCTTGTGCAATGATGGCCTCCCATTGCTTTGGGTTCTTGCCAACCAAACACCTCAGAATATTGCCGAAACTTCTGTTGATTCCCTCAGTTTGCCCATACTTATTAAAAAAAAAAAAAAAAAAAGATTACCTCAGCTTGTCCTTCTGTTTGAGGATGGGGTGAACTACTATACTGTAGCCCAGTTCCCAATTTTTCGACGAGGCTCTCAAGAAATTTGACCAAAACTTGGAGTCTTGGTCCAATGTGATTGTTTTTGGCACTCCATGCAAGCGAACAACTTCCCGGAAGTAGTGATTTGCAATATTTAACGCATCCATAGGTTTTTGCGGCAAATAAAATGAGCCATCTTAGAAAATCTGTCGACTACCACAAAAGTAGAATCCATTCCCCTTTGAGTTCTAGGCAGCCCCAACATGAAATCCATGCGTACATCCTTCCATGGTGCTGGAGGAATAGGCAGTGGTGTGTAAAGACGGGTATTGTGGACTTCTTCTTTGGATTCGTGACATGTTTGGCATCTATCAACAAACCTGTACACATCAAACCTTATTTTGGGCCAAAAGTACTTCTACTCAGTTATGGCACGTCTTTTCTCTTCCAAAATGTCCCGCCAAAGCCTCCTCCGTGCACATTAGATGAAGTTTACTTGAATCATTTGGTAAGAACTGAAGCTTCCTTGTACATGGAGTTTGGAAAATCATGAATTCCATATTCATAATTATATGGGATGGATTCTTGCTGTGGCATATAACTAGGAGTTGTTCTGATTAAAAAATCAAGTTAATTCAGGTTTTGTTTCGTGATATATGTTCAAGCAAGCTTCGGAAACCTTCTAAATTTAAATGGATTCTATTAATGACTATGTAAAGGGGAATGGAGACAACCCTCTATATCTGCTGTAACCAAGTCTTATCAATATCTTTTTGAGTTATTTTCAGAATAAATACTTCTCTTAAGGATTTTCCTAGATTTCCCTTTACCAATCTAGGCTCCAACGGTGATTGGAGTATTTCTTAGAGGAAATCTGGGAAAAACTTGAAGAGAAGTTTAAAATCTGATAATATATCAAAATTACTTATTCAGATTTCCCATACCATAATTAAAACTTTGACTAGACCCTATTGACTGCATTCATTCTAACTAGACAGTTTTCAAGACACAACTGACTGCATCAGTTTGTTCTTTATTTTGTGCTGTTTTGGATCTCTCTCCTACTATCATATGCCAAAAGATGGATTTCTAAGTTTCTAACTGCAAACATGTAGATAAGATTAATTAATGGAATTGGATCATTGTTTTTGTCTCAAATGAGGGTCCTGTTCAACTACTTAGTAACATTATGAAGGCTAGTTTTAAGATATTCATTTCGAGGAAAGTTTCCTTTATCGGTGCATCTTCCAATGTTATGCTGAAATATGTATGAATTTGGTTGTGTGGTCATTGTATAATGGATCTTTTTGTAATCTATGTACTATGTAACAATATAAATCAATATAAACCCTCTCAAGCTCTGTTTATTACATGTTAAATCTGATCAGCTCAGGAATTGGAGAAAGATCTACACGGTCCAATGGCAGAATCTCTCCCAGCTGAGAAAAGGGTTGTCACCTTTGACAAAATTTTCGCAGCATATCATGAAGCCAGGAGCTGCATCCGTAATGATTTGGTAGAGACTGTCAATGATTTAATTCTACAATATGCTTATTTGTTGTGAAGGACTTTATGAAGTAGTTGTGCTGTTTGGTAAATTAATGACAACTTAATTTTATGGTCATCTTTCATACTGTTGATTTTGAAATTTGTCTTTGTTTAGGTTACTGCAGGTAATTCTGAAAACATGAAAGAAGATCTAAGCGGCCTTTATAAAGCTATTGATGCCGTCTTAATTCAACGAACCATTGAGCGGAACGAGTTGTTGGTGAACGTAGCAAAAAATAAACTTACTAAGTTTCGTGATGACAAAAATGAGAAAGTCACCAAGCCTGAAGAGCTTGTTCGGTTATTTGATCAGTTATTACAGGTAACACCGCATTCATTTTCTTTACATTTTTTACTATCCTATCTACATGGATACTATTTCTACGGTCATAATATGCTGTTAGAGAATTGTCATTATAGGAGTGATTAAAGCCCTTAAATCACTCCTTGACAGAACAGTTATTTTAAGGGCTTTAGTCACTCCTATAATGATATTCTCCTACATATAGCAAAACTAACCATCCAAAAATGGATACTGTTGCGGAAGAGGAGTACTTGTTCTTCTTGTTGGCATAGTACATCTGATCGAATTTATAGGATTAGTACTAATTTACTTATTCAACAAATCGATTGGTTGATACGAGTTGATTTCGGTTACGATAAATTGCCGAAACAATAGCTGGGAATTGTTTGGTCGGCTTTCTCTGAGGAAGAAGAACTCCAGATATTTGATATCTTTCTCTTTGAATAAGATCTCAATTCCAGCGACGGTTTCATTCGATATCTTCCAATGAAACTGGAGTAATTGTTCATTTGTTTTGCAGAATACGGCTGATCTTTCTGATTTAGTTCATTCTGGGAGAGATAGAACACCTGAAGAAGTTGCATTTGTTGAAGAATGTGCTCTTAGAAGTTTGGTTTTCCGAGCAGAAAGGTTTGCTTCTTATTAACTCATGGTTGTTTGCATAACAGATATTAAATGGTCAAAAATGTTACTTCACCAATATCTATATTTATGGAGTGCACCCCTTCTCTTAAAGTAGGAAAAACTATTATATTTGAAAAGTGGCTTGACCTGGATAGACAGCCTCGTTTGGTCTGCTCTCCTAATTACTGTAGCAAATTACATCACCTAGCAATTCTTAATATCCAGAAATTGTGTCAGCATTACTGTAGCAAGTTATGTCATCTAGAAATTCTTAATATCCAGTTAATGTTTGGTTGACCAATTGAATTCGCGACCTGGTGACTCGAATGGGTCATGTGTTCAGTCTAGACTCTAGAGAAGATACTAAGCAATTCAAATAAATCAAAAACATTTATTTCAACTAATCTTGAAAAGTACTTAATATTATCTGCAGTTTGATTCTCATATCCTGTTTCACATTATATTAGGCCTTTTTTTTTTGTGTTTGTTAAATCACGGGACATCTAAATAGGTCCTCTGTTGTCTAGTCCTTCTGCCTTCAATATGTATCGTATTAGTTTTTGCTGGTGCACCAATTGGTCTTTGTTGTGCATGCCTGTTCCATTTTGGTTCACATCCTCTTGTCTTTTCCCGACTTTGATGCTGCCTATTCTTTCATACTAATTGATCCATTATTTATTGTGTTTTTATCTTGCCACTTCAAGTTCAGAATCCTCATTTTGACTATGCTTATCATATCGATTCGCATCTTAACTTCCTAGCAATTTATAACCCACCCAGTGCATTTTTTGTTATAAAGTGTGCCTTTTAAACATTTGTGTTATTGTCATGAACGTGATTTACGATGTTACGATGCAATTTTGCTACATTTCTCAACTGTCTTATGTTTTTAGTATCTTTCATGATAGATTGCGTAATAATCTTCATCATTTGGTTTTATTGGATGCCCCAGTTGCTTTCTGTTGTCCGGATCTCTGTCATGGATCTTTATGCTAGTCTTGATCTTATGAACATATATCATGGAAGCAACCACATGAGAGAAATGGTGGTTTTGGACCCTTCTGTTTTTATCCCTTTCTGGAAGAATATTACGTCGCCTCGCCATGCCATCAACTATTCTTGCTTTTTTTCCTTCAACAAATTATTTGACACTAAATACATCAAAATCATGATCCATGCTCTTATATCTGCCTTCATTTTAAGCTTTGTGCCAGACATAAGGCAGATCATTCCCTTTCTTCCTACCCCAAAATATGTAGGGCAATGGAGTTGTTTGAACAAAAGCGAGACAGGCTTGGAGGGCAGTTCTTCTTTGCGAATCTCCTCTTTATGTTTGTTGGTTTATCCCCCAAGCAATCATGGTGTTTCTGCTTTGTGAATTGACAAATCTTATTCTGGTATTTCCTGTTTGTAATGATTTTAAACAAACTGCTATGGAGATGCAGTTTGTAATTGAATTTTGGAGTGTCAGCTAACTTTTCTGAGCTCTTACTAATTAAAAGACCTCCCAATTTGTTGTCAGATGCTTTTACTTGGCTAAATCCTACAGTTTGGCTGGAAAGAGGACAGAATCATATGCATTATACCGCCGTGCTTGCTCTCTTGCTGATACTGCCCTCAAACAACTTCAAAGTCCGAGTAGCGCTAATCAGGTGTGTAAAGTCATTATGTCTTTTGCTCTTGGTGACTTTCTTGCTTTAACAGACTTATAAATTGTCCCTACATATGTCATAGTATCATACAGTAAAATTAATATGCAACTGCCTCTATTGATGAAGTTTCTGACATGCTTGTCGTTGATATTGAAAATCTTTCTCAAGTTCATATCAGGGAAGACTTTCTATTGGCTCATTATCTCGCTGAAGGAAATAACTGTTTAGTTAATAAAACAACGTTGGGGATCCTTCAACTTTTGATAAATTCTTCTTGAAACATTCATCAATTCACTGATGCCCTTAGATTTTGGTTTAAAATTCACTTTCATTAGTTTTAATTCCCCCTCCCCTTTAACAGGTAATGGTCAAGGAGATGAAGACGTTATATGACGACTGTAGATCCAACAGTTGTATAGAGCATGCAACAGGAATTATGGAGGAGGAGAAGGCTCAGGAGAATCTCTCGGAAAAAGTCTCTGCTGTATCATTAACTGGATCTGATAAGAAGGTACTCTTTAGCCTTTTCATATGGTTTTCTACAGGTCGTTTCCAGAAAAGCAGATAAATACCACATAAAAGATATTTAACCAAAATAACCTACGAGACCAAAACCTTTAATCCTGATTTAGCAGCTATTACAATATAGCTTTGATGAGTAGTACTCCCCAGCATAACTTATCTCTAGAGGTTCTTTGTTCTTTCCAGCTTTATGTAGTAAGGAAAGTGTCTTCAGGAAATACAAAAAACTGGCGAGCCGCGCAAAATATGAAGCAGTTAAATTCCTTTACTTCAGTTCTGCCTCTGAATAAGACAGACAGTCTATTTAATATTGATCTCCCCCACCACATCACCCCCCCGCGGCCCCAAATGTATTATCTTAAAACTAGGTGACCAGTTTCTGAGATACATACCGCCCCCCAATTTAAAAGAAAGACTGTCATTCAATTTGCACATTATTTTTTAATTGATCTTGACCAGTTCATGAATCTTGAATTCTTTGTCGAGAACTCGTCACTCCTATAATTTATTCTGTTACCTATTTGTGTAATTTAGTCTCTGCCCAACCTGGTCCATCTAGACTTGTCAATATGGCCCTATGATTGGATGGCGAAGTCATGAAATGGCCTTTTGAATGGTCCTAGTGCCGAGGTCATTTTTGGATCATTGGCACCCATAATTGTCAGTTACTTGTTCAAAGCAAGCTATTAGGTTGAAGGTCTGAATGTCATATGAAGGATTTTTAGTTTATGGAGTCATCTAATGTTGAATGCTATTATCCTTAATTCTTGTACAAATGATTTCCACAAAAGAATAAGGATTTAGGGACTACTAAGTTCAACTCAAATCCAAATTTTTTATTTATTTATTTTGATAAGTAAAATGTATTAGAAAACGTTCAAACGAGGAACACGTCCCAAGAGTTATACAGAGGCCGAAGCCAGAGACAAGGTCCCAAAAAATCAATAAACTCATCAATGGATATACAATTTCTCCCCAAAACCCAACTAAAAAGAGAGCTGATAATATGAAACTTCAAAGCCCCTAAGAAAGATTCCTCCCCTTCAAAAGATCTTCTATTCCTTCCCTTCCATAAGCACCGCCAAACACAAAGTGGAATCACCCTCCAACTCTGACGAGCGTGGGCTCCCACACTACATCCTCGCCAAGTGTCAATCAAACCCCTCGAGGACTGAGGCATAACCCAATGGACGCCGAAGAGGCCAAAGATAAGGTTCCAACAGTCATGAGCTACAGGGTAATGCAAAAGAAGGTGATCCACAAACTCGCCACTCATCTTGCACAAACAACACCAATTAATTGTAATATGTCTTCTCTTTCTCAAATTTTCCAGGGTCAAAATCTTGCCCCATACAGCAGTTCAGACAAAGAAGGCCATTATGAGGGGAGCCTTGGAACACCATACCGTCTTCCAAGGGAAATTAGGACCATGAAAAGCAGAGAGACAACGGAATAGGGAACGAACCTCGAATCTCCCCGAAGAGGAAGGCATCCAAACCAGAGAGTCAGTGCCACTACTAGACCTGTCAATGGATTGGATTCTGATCCGAATCCGATCCGATTAGTTGGATATGGATTGAGTACAAAATCCGATAACCTGATTATGATCCGAATCCGATAATCCGATAACTTAACAAATCGGATTTGGATTAGGCCTGATCCGATCTGTTAATAACCCGGTCTGATCAAAATTATATATAATTATATATATATTTTATATATATCAGCAGATATCCACCGTCAGATTTGTTTAGATTACATATAAAGACCAATCAGAATATTATATGTACAGAAGTATAATGTTCTGACCCCCACAATAATATCTCTCATAGTATATGCGTATCACCTAAGCTTCAATTAGCCACACACTGAAACTCCAAAACCCTCCCTTTACGATAGTTTCAGGTTGGAGAAACTCAACGACCAAGAGAAAAGGTGCTCGTCGATCAGTTGGAACCCTTGTTCAGTGAGTATTTTGTCTGTATATTCTCTAATATCTCCTTTTCCTTCTCTTCTTCTCCACTACCCTAATTTTTTATGCCCAAATTTTCTCTCTTTCACAACTTGATCAGTGGGAACCCTTGTTTAGTGAGTAGTTATTTCATTTTTTTTCCTTTTTTCTCTCTGCTCATCATCTTATTCTTCTTCCCCCTCTGTCTCATTTTTTTTCCACTCTTTATTGTGATTTTATTTCTTTAACAAGTGATATTATTTCACTTGTACAAAAAATTGTAATACACTTCATTCTACCTTCAAATAATTTTTTTTTAAACATATTGTTAGTGAACTTGAGATTTTGTTTTGGTTTTTGAGTAGTTAAGAATGAGGAAGTTGTTTGCCCTAATTGATTGATTTGTGCAAAAGTGTGTAATTTAATCGGATTGGACATCCGATTAAGTGTGTAACGGATATGGATTCGTCAAATGAAGATCCATCGGATTATCGGATCAAATCGGATCGTGTGTTATGCTTATCGGATTCGAATCGGATCAACCATGATTCGGTCCATATCCGATCCGTTGACAAGTCTAGCCACTACCATCTACCTCCTGTCCGTACAATAGTTCCAACAAACCTGCAACCTCTTCCAACTCCCAATCTTGAAAGGAACGCCGAAAATGCACATCCCACGCGAGCCTACCGTTATCGAGCTGATAACAGTCGGCCACCAAAGCATGTCTATCCACGGCAATCCGGAAAAGTCTGGGAAAGGAACGAGCCAATGGGCAATCACCACACCATATATCCTCCTAAAACCAAACTATATTATTAGGATTTGGTTGCTTGAATCCTTTTTGCCATTCAACTTTACATGCTGATTTTATAATTAGAACTAAAAAAAAAAGGATAATGTACAAGGAGGAAAAATTGAGGGCATGCCCTCACATTACATCACATGGAAAAGGAAAAGGACCATTTCCAGAACAAACAAGTAACAAAGACAAAGAAAAATTGATACAACCACATAAGAATCAAGAAACAAGAAAAAGAATATGAGTCTTCAAGGTTGAGTTCTAAGCTGCTCAATCCTTCCCAAACTGCATTCATGGCTACCACAGAAAGCCTACTAGCTTTCTCTTGGAACATCCTTGAATTCTTTTCCATCCATAGGTACCAAAGAGTAGCAAAACAGAGAGACTTGTATAGAATCTGCTCTTCACAGAATTATCTCTAACTAACTGCAAAACCCAGATGATCAAATTTGAAAGAGAATGAAGCCCAGGCCAGAATTATCTCTAACCAACAGCAAAGGGACAAAACAAAAACAGATTGTCAATAACAGTACCCTTCTTCAGGTGTACAAAAGAAGGATTTAAACCTGAATTATGGAACAAGAAGAGATAGCAACTCTAGCTCTACAGCTGTTCCAACACCAATTAAACCAATTAACACCAGTCTACACTGATTCCATACTGATTTAAGATAAACAGTTCCATGATTCCATCCAACTACATTGGGTCCCTCTTTAATAGGAATGGCTTTGATACAATCAGTAATCAGCTGAGGCGAACCAGGTTGGCAAACCCATTAGCCATGCTGAATAATAAACTGCAGTATGTTGTCTTTCCTTAGGGTTGAGCTTCTCTGAAATCTTAGGTTGTCTTTCTCAATTAAGTCCTGTTCTTCACACCAGGGGTCAGCAAACAGTTTAAAACCACTACCATTTGGAACACAATTCCAACAATTCAACTTGTATAAGTTGTATCTATTTGTAAACCAAGCAACCCAAATGCAATCTTTGTGTTGAAAGACTTGGGGGGTGGTTCAGAGAATAGAAGGAAATTGCATCATATGAACTGGAACAAAGTCACTTTCCTTATCTCTGGGAAAGGAACCCTTCTTGAACTGCATCAGCATCATAATCATTTTCTTCGTCTTAATAGCCTTTGAGAACATAATCAGTCTTTTCACTACTAACTTGGAGACCAGAAACAGCCTGGAAATAACAGAAAATGTTAACCAAAGACTGAGCTGAACTAAGATGGCTTGAACAATGATAAACAAGTCATCTGATATATATATACATATATATATATATATACATATATAAATATGACAAAACTTCATCCCAGCCTTCACTACAGATTTGCATAGATGGATTGAGCCATTTCGGACTACATTTTCCATTAAAAGGGAGAAATGTTTTAGTGACCAAGTGAACAAGAGAGGGGACAAGGGACACCTCATGCTCGTGCTTTTTAGTAGGCTTTAGGCTCAAAAAAGGAATGCCTTTTATTTTTTAATCATTTGTTCATCTCATTTTCTTTTTTATTTAATGACTACTAAATTAAAATGATATATATCATAGCTTGATTCTGAATATATATGATAATATATGCTTAAAATTTGCACGATTATTGTTTTTTATTCTGTCAGATTTTGTAATCACGTCTAATTTTGTTAATGCATATGCATATGAAAGGATTTTTGAGCAAATATCAAAAATACAATTTTTAGAGAATTAACACGCATATCTTGAATTGTTGCAATTGGACATTTATTGAATTCATATGCAAATAGAAAAGATATATACGTTGATTTAGCTAATCCATTGAATTGATGTGCTGATTTTTTTTCTTATTTTTATAATTGACAAGTTTGTGTTGCATACTTATAATTAATACGCATTATTATTACATAAGCGCCTTACTTCAATAAGGCTCACGCCTTATATTGCGCCTTGCGCTTAGGCTTCAGAAGACCTTTGGTGCCTTAGTGCGCGTTGGGCCTTTAACAACTATGGGGAGGAGTAAGAATTCATCACCTTTGGGAAACTCGTAGTATTGCCAACTTTTGGTGCTAGTTTTTTTTTTTTTTTTGATAAATAAGAATGTATTAGAAAGCAATGAAAAGGGGATCGCATCCGATCTGTAACGAAGAAGTTATGACCGTTTTACTGACTGCTGTGCTGAGAACTTGAAACCTGTGTTTCCAATCTTTGTGACTCCACTGAAAACGTGTAGAAGAGATATTTGAGGTTGTAGAACA